CGTGACAGACAGAATATACCAATGCAGACGGCAATATATTGGATCGAATATGTATTGAGGCATAGAGGTGCCCCACATCTTAGTCATTTGGGACAAAATTTGAACGTTTGGCAATTTTATAATATCGATGTTGTTGCATTTTTCATCACCATATTGTTTGTGTTATCTTTTATATTCAGAATAATTGTAAATATATTTATAAAGTGTATAAGAAAACTTTGGCTCAGAGAAAAAAATAAAATTGCATGAAGCATATAGAGCATTCGACTCAAGAAACCTTTTTTATTTACCAAACCTAGATCATTTCTGAAGATTGAAGATGTTTGCCTTCAATAATACAGAAACGGGTTTTGAACGATTTATAAAAGTTTTTTTCAGGTATTCGACAACGCCGAACTTTTTATATCCTCATTTAAAATACCTTGAGTCGACACGGACTATAGGGGTCATATCCTCAATATACGGAAAATGTTGGGTACTGTAAAACGGGGTCTATACTAAACGTGAACTCATATTGTTAAATTTGGTAAAAACGTTTGCCAACTGAAAAAAATTGAAACAAGGAACTTGAATCGTTTGTACCATCCATCCAAATGTATCCAAATTCCTGAAATCGGTCGGAACCTGAATATAGGGACTATGTTATTATACCCTTCGCCACACATTGGTGTAGGGCAATATGTCTTTGTGCATATGTTTGTAACAGGCAAATGGAAACGAGATAGGCCCATGGTTACCTTTGAAAATAAGCATAGAATAACTTTCTAAGTCGATTTATTCATCTGTGACCTACATCATGGAAACGAGATAGGTCCATGGTTACTTTTTAGAATAACCATAGAACAATTTTCTAAGTAGATTTATTCATCTGTCCATATTAAATTTTAAAGAAAGTACAGATCGCATTTATGATCCGAATAGTATGAGGCAAAGATGCACCAATTTGAAATTGGTGAAAATCGATGGGAGATTCAGATATAGCTCCCATATATAAATACATCCGATTTGGGGTACATGGTACACCAAACCCCGAAAACAAGCCAGATTGAGATGACTTATTTTGGAAATGATAGTTAGTGGAGTATAGAATTACATGTATTTCATTTCATTGAAATCGGCTCAGATTTAGATATAACTCCCACATATAATTTTATTCGATTTGAGGTAAATGGTCCAAAACATATCAGATATGTTCGAAATTTTACAACACGTGTTTAATTGAGCTTAAAACCAGTGAGCGGAGCAGAATAGTCGAATGGGGCCGACAATATGATACCCTACACAACTACCACGGAACACAAACTTTCTGCGGATCTCTATTCCAATCCTTGGTAATATTTCGCGATATGTGTACTGTCTTGACCGACAACTGTTTCTCTGAGGCATCATTATCGAATCGTATTTTCTGTGAGTTAAAAAAAAATGGTTCATTTGACCTGCCAAATATTGACCTTCATTATCATGATACCAGTAAGGAAAGTAGTAAAGTCGGACTGGGCCGACTATATGATACCCTTCACCACTTTGGGTATGTTGTACATATGTATCCTCACAATTGCATGTCTCTGTTCCCTCGAAGGAACATGCTCATGTCTTGCTGCAACCTATGATAAATTTAATTTCATTCGGGCAGATTTAGAGTAGTCTGCGTACCATGGGACAAATTTATGGAAAACGATTTACAGCAAAATTAATACACGTTATTCAGTACTACGCACAGTCAAAAATTTAATTTCAATCAGACACCCGTTCAAAATACATAAGAGAGCTATACGAAACGCAATAACGTCATTCAAGCCTCAATTTGGTTCATTGTGCAAAATTTTGAATTTTTATGTAAAATCGGACGAATACATATCCATATGTTGGACATATATCGAAATTTGAACCAATTTTCCCGAAACATTATTCTAGACTCAATTCATTACTCTATGCCACAAATCGAAAGATATATAGGGATATTGGTGCACCATTTACATTAAATCGGACGAAAATATATATGGGAGCTATATGTAAATTTTAACCGATTTTCCCGAAACTTATCACTTATCATTTCAGAAACTTCGCACACATCATTCTAGACTCAATTCAGGCCGCTACGCCAAATTTTGTGCAAATCGAAGATTATATAGGGTCTTTGGTGCACCATTAATATAAAATCGGATGAAAATATATATGGGAGCTATATCTAAATCTGAACCGATTTTCACGAAACTTTGCACACATCACTCTAGACTCAATTCAGTATGCTATGCCAAATTTCAAGCAAATCGAGTGATATATAGGGACATTGTTGCACCATTTACATAAAATCGGACGAAAATATATATGGAAGCTATATCTAAATTTGGACCGATTGTCTCGAAACTCAGCACACATCTTTCTAGACTTAATTCAGTATGCTGTGCCAAATTTCGTGCAAATCGAATGATATATAGGGACATTGGTGCACCATTTACTGAAAATCGGACGAAACTATATATGGGAGCTATATCTAAATCGGGACTGATTTTCACACAACTTCGCACACATCTCTCTAGACTTAATTTAGTACTATATGCCAAATTTGGTGCAAATCGAAAGAAATATAGGTACTTTGGTACACCATTTACTATAAATCGGACGAAAATATATATGGGAGCTATATCTAAATCTGACGCGATTTTTCCCAATTTCAATAGGGTTCGTCCTTGGGCCAAATAGATGAGCTGTACCAAATTTCAGCCAATTCGGATCATAACTTCGACCTGTACTTTGTTTACAATTTAACATGGACAGACGGACGGACGGACAGACGGACATGCATAAATCGACTCAGAAAGTGATTCTATGCATATTCTCAAAAGAAACCATGGGTCTGTCTCGTTTCCTTTTGCCTGTTACAAACATATGCACAAAGACATAATACCCTGTACAACAGTGTGGTGGTAAATATTGACCGATCTTCATTAAAACTGTCCTGCGTATTCCAAATCCAGAATCCATTCTTTGTTCCCAATATTCGGGTCATAATTGTGGCCTCCCCTAAATATTAAGGGGTAATACATGCAAAATTTCGTGACAATTGTTCCATATCTGTGGCCTGTATCATGTTTACAAAATATAATGGACAGACAGATGCATACACATATCTAGATCGACTATCTCGACTAGATATGATGATCGGTATACTAAAAGTTGGAATGTCATGTGTAAATTTTAACGGGAATTTTGTTTGGGGCTATTTTAAAACATAAACCTTTACAGAATAATTTCCGATAAAAAAAATCACCAGGAATCAGATATGCCATATAAAAGCCACTTCGATGAGAAACTTCGTTGTAAAAAATTTAAATTCCGAAAACAGAAAAAAATTGATCCAGAAAAAATTGAAAATGTGATTTACCCTCCAATATCCCGGAATTCCTAATTATAGCCACTACAATGAGAAAATGTGGCAATTTCAAGAGACAGGCGAACATACATGGAATTTTATTTATAGTTATATTTTTTCTGCTTTGATTGAAAATGTGCCAAAACTCTGCAAAATAGCTGAATATTGGGAGTGCCACTATATGATGGCTACACCAATAGGTTGATGGATATCCCCTATTTATTATACCAAACATTCTAGGAGTTGTAGCAAAGTTCTATCGACATTTTATTAACATTTTATTCTAATCTAGATATATAATCTATAGGATTTCCGGTGAATATTTTAAGGTGTTGCAAACCGAATAATAAATTTAAGGTTCATGCTAATAACAAGACATAACATGACTCAAATGTTATCTGTCAAAAAATCTATTAGAACATGTATGTCTACTTTGATTAACCTACATATCGATTCAGTTTATCGGTAATACCTCCAACACTTCGAGCCATTAGAAACTTCTGGCCCAAAATCAAAACAAACATTTGTGTAAGATATAAAATGAAGCAGGAAAACTGAGCCGCTTTAAACTAATCAGTAATTACTGATAATAATACATATCAGTGTATATGCCTTCTAGTACCCCACTTTTAATGCAAATTGATAATTTCGAGTTCGGACATTATCCAAAAGCAATAAAAATGATTTTTTTGTTGTTTTAGCCGTTATCAGGGCAAATGGAATAGTCAATGTTAGTAGATAAAAAAAATAATGTTCGCTTCCAGTACTTTTTTTAATTTTTACGTAGTTGAGCTAATAATGCGCTTCAATATAGGTTTAGTAATATTTCTACAATTCGTTGGTAAACAAGTGTGCCAAACGGCTCGCATATTGTCTATATTTGGTTTTGAAGGTCCAGCACAATATGCATTTCTTGAACCGCTTCTACTTAAATTGGCTGAACGTGGACATTATGTCACTTCGATTACAAATTTCAGACAAACTGCAGAACATACAAATTTGCGCTCCATTGTAATAGAAGAGAATTTTCAGTTAAATGGAAGTAAGTTATACATTGTAAGAGAGAAGGTATGAAATAAATAGTATTATTTTTTTTTTTACAGAAGTTCGACATGCAATAAGCAAAGAAATTGGTTTGGATCATTTCAATAATATGAGTGAAATGTTCACAATTGGCTTTCAAATGTGTGAAAATATTCTTCACAATGCTTTAATACGTGATCTGATGGAAAATGAATCATTCGATTTGATTTTGCTGAATTTATTGTTTTCGGAATCCCTATACGGACTGGCACAACATTTTAATGTTCCACTTGTGGGCATATCGACAATTGGATCATGTGCACCTCTAGATAGTCTGTTCAGAAATTCGGCACCTCTCTCATATGTTCCCAGTGTTATGTTGGAACATCTGTTTGATGAAAATATGAGCTTTTGGCAGAGATGTTTAAATGTGGCTCTATGTGTGCTAGTTACATTGTACCATAATTACGAAATGATGCCATTGAATAAGAAATATTACCAGTTACGTTTTCCCAACGCTTCGAAAACTGTGGAAGAGGTACAAAAGAATATATCATTGATATTATTGAATGATCATCATGCCATAAGTAAACCAAAGCCATATTTACCAAATATGATTGAAGTTGCTGGGTTACATATTCCCGAGGTACCAGAACCTGTAGCTCCCCAAATTCTTAAAATGCTTAATGCCGACACCCATGAAAAAGGTTTCATATATGTTGCCATAGAAGAACATTTTCCAGATAATGTGATGCAGAATATTTTAAATCAATTTGGCATGGTGAAATCAATGATATTATGGAATTCCCCACAATATCCATCTGCAGTATTGCGCGTGCCCAGCAATGTGTACTTCTTTAGGAATCTATCTCACCATGGTATTCTCAGTCATCCAAATTGTAAATTATTAATATCACACGGAAGCTACTTAAGTGTTATCGAAAGTATTCACTATGGCATACCAATTCTGGGTTTAAAAAGTCCGCACATTAAAACTGGAGAAAAGTTTAATTATGTTGAAAAAATCAGTACCGGAATTTCATTGAAAATTGCAGCAAAGTCATTACAAGACCAACAAATCTATAAGGCCATAGTAGAACTTGTGGAAAATGAAAAATATATGAAAATGGCAAAACAAAAATCATTTCAATTCCGTGACAGACAAAACACACCAATGCAGACGGCAATTTATTGGTTAGAATATGTTTTGAGGCATAGAGGTGCCCCGCATCTCATCCACTTGGGACATAATTTGAATACATGGCAATTTTATAATGTAGATGTTTTCATGTTTATCATTATATCGTTGTTTGTCGTAGTTTTATTTTTCACTATAATTGTTAATATTTGTTTGAAATGTACGAGAAAAATGCTGCGTGTAGAAAAAAATAAAATTGCATAAAAATTATTTGAAAAAAAAACATCTTTACAACAATGTTGAAAATTTCGACTTATTAATGGAACTTAAAAATAATCTTAATAATATTAAAACTTTTGAATACTTCTGGAAAATATTATTTAAAAATGTGAACATCGATGGCATCGATATTTTATTTTATTACTGCGAACATATGTACTTAAATATTACTTATAATATATTTATTAAATAATAGTATACTTTGTGCCGGATTTCATTAACCCAATGGGTTTAAATAAAGCTTCACGTTTAGGATGATCCATAAAACTGTTCTTTAAACACTCAAAGCGTGTGTATTATCCTAAAAATGTATGATCTTTTAAAAATAGTCATAAATAACACTGAGACATTTTTGGAGGTTTTCGGAGGTATTTCGAAAAAAAAAATATTAAAACATCTTTGCTTTTGGAATATCCTTAAAATTAGTCTTTTATAAACATACGCCCATAAGAGGAGCTTGAAAAAATATTCTTTAAATATCTAAGTCTCTAAAAGTTCGATGAAAATATTCTTTAAAAATCCAAGCCTTTGAAATGTCGCTGAAAAAGAAAACCTACTTTGAAAAAATTGAAGGTCCTTGAAAAATTATGTGAAAATTAATATTTAAGGTCCTTAAAAAGATTATTTGTAAACTCTGCGCCTTTGGAAGGTCATTGAAAAAACTATTATTTAAGAAATCCTCGCTTAAGAAATCTGCGCTAATTGAAGGTCATTGGAAAAATATTATTTAAAAAATTCACACTTATTTCAAGGATCTTAGAAATATTTGTTGCAAAATATTCGCCTATGAAAGGTTTCTAAAAATATTATTAAAAATAATCGCTTATTGAAGGTCCTTAAAATATTCTTTGTAAAATCTACGCCAATAGAAGGTCCTTAAAAAAGTATTATTTAAACCAGTAAGAAATGTAGTAAAGTCGGACTGGGCCGACTATATGATACCCTTCAACACTTTGGGTATATTTAACATATGTATCTTAACATATGTAGAATATATCTGAACCGATTTCAGGGAAACTTGCCAGAGACTAATTTATATTACATTAGTACGTTGTGTCAGTCGGCCTAGCTATGGATCTTTTCACGAAGCTTATCAACATCATTCTAGTCTTAATTCTGTACCCTATACCAAAATTCTTGCAAATCGAAAGATATATAGGGACTTTGGTGCACCAATTACATAAAATCGGACGAAAATATATATGGGAGCTATATCGAAATCTAAACCGATTTTCAGGAAACTTAACACACACCATTCTAGGCTTAATTAAGTACGCTGTGCCAAATTTCGTGCAAATCGAACGACATATAGAGACATTAGTACATTAAAAAAAATTTACATTAAATCGGACGAAAATATATATGGGAGCTATATCTAAATCTGGACCGATTTTTCCCAATTTCAATTGGGTTCGTCCTTGGGCTAAATAAGTGGCCTATGCCAAATTTCATCCAATTCGGATCATAAATGCGACCTGTACTTTGTTTACAATTTAACATGGACAGACAGACGGACGGACATGCATAAATCGACTTAAAAGGTGATTCTATGCATATTCTAAAAAGGAAACATGTGTCTATCTCGTTTCCTTTTGCCTGTTACAAACATATGCACAAAGACATAATACTCTGTACCACAGTGTGGTGAAGGGTATATATAATCCTCGCTTATTGCAGGTTCGTTAACAAATATTTAAGTACAAAAAGTCCTTGAAAAACTATTCTTTAAATAATGTATGCCTATGAAAGATCACGGGAAAAATTTATCTTTGAAAAAGCTACGCCTGTGGAAGGTCCTTGAAAAATTCTTTGAAAAAAATCTATAACTTGAAAAAATATTCTATAAAAATCCATGTTTTTGGTTGGACTTTCAAAGACGAGGCCTACCATAAGAAAGTTTTTTTTCGCGGAAAACTCAGTTCGAATCGCCTGTTTTATCAGCTGATGACTGTTGCGACAATTTTAAGTAATACTCCACAATTTGTTAACCTAAAAGATTCGGTGAATTCGACAATCGAACAAGAAAAGACATTGTACATTATTACAATTCGAACTATCACACTTCGGTTCAAATTAACGAATTTTTGACTGGCCAAAACCAGACCTTTTGGCCCTGACGAATTTCAATTCACGAAAATTGGATCTGAGTAGAATAAGTGGATTCGACAATAGGCTTGAGTGCATGAAAATGTTTATAAGTCATGTTGAAATACATTAAAAAAAAATTATTATTTTTAGGCTATAAATAAAAGTAGCCATGGTTTATTGAATATAAGTCTTTCTTTATAGAGGACCTCAAAATAATTGAATGAAATCATAAAATCTGCTTTCTTATACATACAATTTAAAATGAACTTTGTTGAAGTCTCAGTAAATTTAATTTCATTTAACGTACAATCAATTAACAGACAGCAGAGTAATATTACGAAAACTGCACATTTCAAACAAACAAAGCTTTTATGAAGTAATTTCACTGCAATTTATGAAGTCTTAAAAATCCAAAAGCCATCAACTGCATCCACCAGGAATTATATCTTGACGAAAAATATTGCTTCGTATGACCAAAAACAATATCAAATCAATTGCATGTGGATATTTTTTGCCACGACATACAATCATATGTATCACTTACATGTATGTGTATGACACACATGTCCTTGCAGACATATATACATCTATTTCGATTTTGTCTCATACAAGCAATTCGTGATTATATTGATATGATGTTTGGTTGGGTTTTATGTCATCATCGTCGACATCACAGATTATCACAAAAACACACGGACACTCACTCACATATATCAATGTTGTCTGTTTTAGTCTTTCTCTCTTAGCCAGATATTCCATATACCAATAATGTTATATGGTCACATTTACAACCACATTTTCAAGCATATAATGGAGTAATCAGTCGATATTAAAAAAAGACTTGAAGGACAACAGAGACTGACAGACAGACAAGGGTCGCTCGTTACCTCGTTATTTGATAATAAATCGATAAATGGCTTATGATAGACGAGGACATTTCAAATAGGGATTTCACAAGAGGGAATTTCACTAAGAAAAGATGTTCAAGATATTTGTGCGACAGATTTTTATACTCTAGACAAATAAACATATTATAGCTTAGTGTGGCCGCAGGATACTGTATATTGGTCCAAGACCCACTCTTTGACATAGAGTCGATATAGACATTTTTGTCCGTCCCTTCGATTGTCCATTATAATTTGTAAACAAGGTACAGGTCACAGTTATGTATCAAGCGTCACGAAATTTTTCACATAGGACCGGTAAGGGCCAATGAGGACCCCTATTGTTTTTGGCAACGATTACGTAATATTTATGGGATTAAATGGGCCAAAACTTTATTTTTGTTTGTTTTTCTGGTCGCTAAAGGCTACAATTATGACCCGAACATCACGAAATTTTACAAGGGGTCAAAAGGGGTCTTTTGTGAAAAATAACAAATGATTAGTTAATAGTTAGTGGATTAAATGGGCCAAAATCTTTATTTTTGTATCTTTTCCTGGTCGCTTTAAAGGCTACAATTACGACCCGAACATCACGAAACTTTACAAGGATATTTGACGGGATATGTTGGTATAATATCCCTAAAGGGTGGTTGACATACAATTACTATAAAATCGCTATGAAAATTTAACGTAGTTATGGTTATGGTCTACGGCGCCTAGAATTTTCGGTGATGATCAGATGATATTTAGGGTATTTATTTTTGTTTGGTTTTATAGTCGCTCTTGAGACCACTATTATAAACCGAACTAATTACAATGGTAGGTCAACTGATACTTTTATGAGTAAAATAAAAGATTTAAAATGTTTTGGAATAAATTATCTCTCAGGGATTCAGAAAATATAGTAGGGTCAAGAGGGTGCAATAACCCGAAATATTGTCAAGAATCCAAATATAATTGTGAAGAATATTATAATATGGTCGGCTCCGTCCGACTATACTGATTTTTTATACCCTTTACAACACTGTGATACAGTTTATTATGTCTTTAACATGCAAAAGGATGGACCTTCCTTTTGAGAATATGCTTAGAACCACTTTCTGAGTCGATTTAATCATGTCCGCCAGTCCGTCTTTCCGCGATAAATTTTAAGCAAAGTATAGATCGCATTTATAATCCGATTTGGAGTAAACTTGGTACAACTCATTTATTTGGCCCAAGGATAAACCCTATTGAAATTCATGAAAATATATTCGGATTTAGATATAGCTCCCATATATATTTTCGACCGATTTTAGGTAAATGGTGTACCAAAGCCCCTATATTTCATTCGATTTACACTAAATTTGGCAAAGCGTTCTGAAATAAGTCTAGAATGATGTGTGTTAAGTTTCGTGAAAATCGGTTCAGATTTAGATATAGCTGCCATATATATTTTCTTCCAATTTAAAGTTTATGGAGCACCAAAGCCTCTATATTTCTTTCTATTTGCACGAAATTTTGCATAGCGTACTGAACTGTGTCTAGCATAATGATGTGTGTTAAGTTTCGTGAAAATCTTTGCAGATTTAGATATAGTTCCCAAATATATTTTCGTCCGATTTAATGTAAATGGTGTAACAAAATCTTTATATATCTTACGATTTGCATAAAATTTGGCATAGCGCACTGAATTGAGTCTAGAATGATGTGTGCTAAGATTCGCGAAAATCGGTTCAGATTTAGATACAGCTACCATATATATTTTCGTCCAATTTTATGTAAATAGTGTACCAAAGCGCCTATATTTCTTTGGATTTACACTAATTTTTGCATAACATTATGAATTAAGTCTAGATTGCTAAGTTTCGTGAAAATCGGTTCAGATTTAGATATAGCTTCCATATA